TACCGCGTTGTGAACCCGTTAAAGGATTATATCTTGGTGAGGCACTTGTTACTAATTCACAAAACAAAGGGTATTTAAAGTATATAACGTCACTGAGCGTGACTACACAATAATACTGAAGCCCATGCACTTGATAGATTACTATTCTACCAATTTAATTGACTGTGTCAATTCTACTAACTCCATTGATTTTTCTGAATCCACTGAATTAAGTGACCTCACTAAGCCTACTAATTCCACTGCGCTTTGCTATTTCAATAAATCAAACATTGAAGATACAATTCCAGCAATTGAACACCGTTATAATAAATTAAAAAATCTAACAAACTTGAGTCATTTAAATGAAGAAAAGAGGAGACATGTAGAAACAACATTAGAAAAGAATATAGACTGCTTTTTCTTACCAGAAGATAAATTAAAATTTTCTAATATCACCAGTCATTCCATTTCTACCACTAACGACATTCCTATTCATGTTAAACAATATAGATACCCGCCTTCCATAAAGAAGAAATAGATAAACAAGTGAAAAAATTACTGAAAGATAACGTTATTTAACCTTCCTCTTCCCCATATAATGCACCTCTTTGGATTGTGCCTAAGAAATCGATCGGAGAAAAAGAAAAAAAATGGAGAATGGTAATTGACTTTAGGAAGTTAAATGAAAAAACTATCGGAGATGCATACCCCCTTCCAAATATAGTAGAGATCTTGGATCAGTTAGGAAGTGCTAAATATTTTTCCATATTTGATCTAGCACAGGGCTTTCATCAAATTCCAATGAATCCGAATGACAGAGCTAAGACAGCGTTTTCCACCCCGTATGAGCATTACGAATATTTAAGAATGCCATTCGGTCTGAAAAACGCACCAGCCACGTTCCAAAGACTTATGGACAGTGTGCTGGTGGGTTTACAAGGAAACGAAGTATTTGTCTATCTAGACGATATTGTTGTGTATGCCAGATCCTTGGAGGAACATAGAATAAAAATTGAAAAATTAATGCAAAGACTAAGGGCGGTATTCATAGTCCGTTCTTATATTCAAGATCGTCTTAAGCACGAACTTATATTCACTCTCTTCGTCAGACACAATCTATGTGTGACGAAGAGAGCGAATATAAGTCCGTGCTTAAGACGATTTTAAATATAAGAACGGACTATGAATACCGCCCTAAGAGAAGCTAACTTACAGCTTCAACCCGAGAAATGCCAATTTTTGAGACACGAAGTTGTATATTTAGGCCATGTGATCAGTTCAATGGGGGTTAAACCAGATCCAGATAAAATCATAGCAGTAAAAACTTTCCTATACCAAAAATCAGAAAAATATAAAACAGTTCTTGGGCCTAGCTGGGTACTACCGTAGGTTTATTAAAGATTTCTCGAAGCTTGCCAAACCTTTAACCGATTTATTGAAAAAAGATATACCTTTTACATGGACTCCCTTAAGCGGTGTCTACAATGAGATTTTAAGATGTAAAACTTAAGCTTTAAGTCGTAATTTGTGACGTCATTTCCTTTCGTAAGGCTTTCCCACTAGACTTTTAGCCGTAACTTTAAGCCTCAAGCGAATTGGCGAAATCTCAATTTTTACGGCTAAAAATTTACGGCTTAAAGTCGAGTATGATATAATGACCAATAGAAGCAAGGTTAGCGAAAATACGTACATGTTAAGATATTATGTTGACTTGCACGTTGCTACGATGGATTCAAACGTAGAAATATT